ATAGAATAGAATAGAATAGAATAGAATAGAATAGAATAGAATAGAATCTATTAAGAATAGAATCGAATCTATTAAGGATAGGATAGGATAGGATAGGATAGGATAGGATAGGATAGGATAGAATATAATTCTTTATTGGCCAAGTGTGATTGGACATACAAGGAATTTGTCTTGGTGCAAATGCTCTCAGGGTACGTAAAAGAAAGATACATTCATCAAGAGTCAAGAATCATCAGGAACAACATTTAATGATAGTCCTAGGGTACAACAAGAATAGAATAGAACAGAACAGAATAGAATAGAATTCTTTATTGGCCAAGTGTGATTGGACACACAAGGAACTTGTCTTTGGTGCAGATGCTCTCAATGTACATAAAGAAAATGCAATAAAATACATTCATCAGGAATCATAGGATACAATGCTTAGGGATAGTCATAGGTTACTAATAAGCAACCAGATCATACTAGGAAACAAATACATCATTTGGATCTTCTCCTGCAAAGTTTTCAACTGTTGGTTCTTTTCCAGCTCTTGTTTACTTGTCTGCATTTCCCCCTTGTTTTTGCTTTATCGCAGGTTCATATTGAGATCCATTAAATTGTGACTTACTTTGCCAAGGAAGGCCGTCACCAACGTATCCTAGGCTTCACCACAATGCAGAGCGTCGAGGACCGAGTGACACCGCTCTCCGTTCTCACTATGGCCCAGGAAGAGGAGCTGGGACAACAGCTGCAGGAAAGTGCCTTGGCTCAGCCAGAAGATATCCTCCACCTTCCAAATATCCACACCTTAATGGCTCACTCTCAGGCCAACCATGACCATTTGCAAAAAGAATTCTTCTCCCTTAAGATCAGGAACTGCCCCCTGTTCAACGCTGTCCCACTTCCCCATATTGGTAAAAAAGTCCTGCCCAACCTGAGCCAGGCGACCAACGGAGTTGTGTCTTCTAAGGAATCCCTCAACCTGCATTTCTTACCCGAAAACCAGCTCTTGGAGAAGATCTTCAGCTACTTTGACAGTACCTCGGTAGCAGGTTGGCAGGAGAAGTCTCAAGCTGTCCTTAGCCAGCTGGGCAAGTGGAGCGCTTCCAAGGAAAACTTCGTACAATTTGCACACTTCTGGCTGTCTGAACTCCAGCACGACCAGAAGCAACAGTTGTTGGAACTGGAACTGGGGGTGATCGAAGACGAAGTCCATCTGGCATTCCTGGAAGGATTGGACTCCAAGGACCTTCAGCCTTCAGAGTTGAGTTCCATCCTCTTGGTGGCCCTGAGCGAATACCCAATGGGGTTGGCCAGCAATCAGCACCCCTACATTTTTCTAGATTACTTGAACCTCATGTCTTCACCCAACGCCTCCGGATACAGGGAGATGCTTTCCAACATCCAGTATCCGAGCAAAAACCCTCAGATCACTCAGTGGCTGCTCGCTATACGAGAATTTGCCCTTGCAAATCTCTGGCACGCTATGGTCAAGGTAAAAGCCCAGGTGGGAAATGGGAGGGAGAGGGGACAGGATTGCAAACTGGCTTGTAGGCTGTTGTTGTTTTAACATTGTCCATGTGCTGATACTGCATCTACAGTGTGTTTTAAGAACACCCTAGAAAACCAGTATTAAGTAACATTGGGGGTGGGTGGTGGTGTTACATGGTTGGCTAAAATTAGGGCAGCGCATCTAATTGGCATCTAATTAGCATCAATGAGTTGGGTTTAACTTTTTGTGTGTCTGAATTTTTGGCCATCTGCTATAGCAGCAATACCTTTCTCGGCCGATCCTAGCTTTTTGCAGTTTTACTTGTTAGAGTAGCAAGCGTTGGGTTGCTACTCTTAGAATAACAGGAGTTGGAAGGGACCTTGGAGGTCTTCTAGTCCAACCCCTTGCCCAAGCATTTCAGACAAATCGTTGTCCAATCTCTTTTTAAAAGCCTCCAGTGTTGGAGCACTCACAACTTCTGAAGGGAAGCCGTTGTGCTGATTAATTGTTCTCCCTGATAGAAAAGTTCTCCTTAATTCCAGGCTGCTGTTCTCCTTGAAGCAAAGCCGCCATTATGGAAACAGGGGGAGGGGTCTAAACAGCCTGGGAAAACTTCTACTTATATGTTGGGGCTTTCGAAGCAAAGCAAAATATCTTTAGGAAAGGGAACAAGATGTCCTTGCTGGTCTCTGAGCTTGGTAGGTTTTCTTGCTGACGTTTCATTACTCAACTAAGTAACATCATCGGTGCTAGAAGGGGATATAAACAGAGAGCAAACCCTACCCCCTTCTAGCACTGATGAAGTTACCTAGCGGGGTAATGAAACGCCTGCAAGAAAACCACCAAGCTCAGAGACCACCAAGGACACCACAGTTCAGCTCTGAGCTACAGAGATTCTCTTCTATTTATGAACAACTGTCCTAGCTGTGATTGTATATGTTTTTCTTACGGTAATAATTTCTTTTAAAATGTTGATTAATTAGAGAGATTTGGAGCTAGGATGCACGTTCACATACTAAGCGTTCTAATTTTGAAATTTAGTTCTATAAGGCATTGGTCAGTACCCAACTCTCTTCTGAAGCAGCTGTCCAGAGTCCTAGTTCGGTTTCCAAACAAGAAGCTACTGAAGGCATGAAAGAAAGGTAAGGATAATTGACATCCATAAAATCTCCTTGGCTGTTCTGACCAAGGCTTCTCGAAATCGTAATTAAGCACACACTTAGTTAACAAACAACTCTTATTTTATTTCAGTGCTGGGAATTATGTTCATTCCCAGCCTGTAATGAGTCCCAAACAGTCCCTCGAGATAAGCACCCACCTTTCTCTCCTTTGAATTGCCGCCAATAACTAGAGTGCCAAATGAACTATAAAACACCAACCAAAGTACAAAGTCCACACAGAGCTTCAAGGATTAATCCGAACAGAATGAACGACTTTGCTTCCTACAAAGGTTTCTTCACCTTTTCTGTCTTTTATAGCTGATGGGAAGGCCAATCACCTACCAGGCTTACTCCCGAGTCGCCCCTTTTGTTTCAGCTGCTCTCGCCTTCTAGCAGCTCTGCACACACACACACACACTGGGAACAGGCTCCCCTTGTTCCTCTTCCTCGCTGCTGCCAAACTCCGGAGGCTCCAGAGTCAGCACCCCACTCCCAGATGGTCCTGGCCCCATCTCTGCATCAGATGCAGGACCCTCATCCGAGTCCTCCCCAGACCCCCAGACTGGTCCCTGTTCTTCCCCACAGTCCAATTCTGCTGCTGGCTGCACCGGCTGCCAGTGAACCACAACATTGACAATATAATTTTTTTGCAATGAATCCTTGACTCACGACCACAAGTAGGACGGGAACTTCCATTGTAGGTTGTTGCCGTTGTGAATCAGACCCAAGTTTATGACAATATTTACGACAATTGTTAAACGAAGTACACAATTGTTAAATGAAACCAGCTACCCCCGATGGTGGGGGAGTTTTTTGCCGGAAATCAGCCCAACAGCTCACCAGTTGCCATCACGTGACTGCAGGACGCTGCAAGTGCCATGTAAATGCGATATGGTTGCCAAGTGCTCAAATTGCGATCACAGGACTGTGGGGATAGTGCAACAGTCGTAATTGTGAGTACAAGTAATACGTCCCTTTTTTCAAGGTTGTCCTAACTTTGAACCGTCCTTAGCTTTGCAGTCATAAGTCGAGGACTGCCAATTTTGCTAAAGGTTTGGAAAATTAAGCAATGACCCATTGTCAATCCACCACAGGAGTTTGTTTATTGGTGTCGGGAGCATCCCAGTTAAAACAAGGCATACTATAGGACGTAAAATTTAAAATAAAGGTAAAGGTTCCCCTTGCACACAGGTGCTAGTCATTTCCGGCTCTAGGGGGCGGTGCTCATCTCCGTTACAAAGCCGAAGAGCCAGCGTTGTCCGAAGACGTCTCCGTGGTCATGTGGCCGGCAGGACTGAACGCTGAAGGCGCATGGAGGAACGCTGTTTCCTTCCCACCAAAGTGGTCCCTATTTTTCTACTTGCATTTTTTACATGCTTTCGAACTGCTAGGTTGGCAGAAGCTGGGACAAGTAATGGGAGCTCACTCCGTTATCTGGCGCCAGGGATTCGAACCGCCGAACTGCCGACCTTTCTGATCGACAAGCTCAGTGTCTTAGCCACAGAGCCACTGCTCAGTGTATTTGTAAAGTACAAAAGACAAGATTAAAATGTGTACAAATTAAACGGATTTTGCCCAGAAACTAGCAACATGAATTGTGTTCCGTCATGATGCCATAAGGTTCACTGATCGGAGCACAAAGGGAACGTATAATATGTGTGTGTTTGTGTGTGTGTATTGTTGTCTGCATGCATGTCACCACACTCACAAAGAGCAAAAGTAACTGGATAGCCTCATTTGTTCAGAGTCTCTCTGGATCTTGTTGTATTTGTGCGTAGTTTATTCAACAATTCCCACACTTCTCAGCTTTTGTCAGGCCCAGATATCAGCTCCTCTATTGGTTCCATCCAGTGTTGATTCTTTGTTAGCTTTCCATAGATCCAAATTCTTCAAAGTCTTTTGTCAACCTAAAGAAGACCACACAGGTTGGATTATACATACATTGTCTACTCCAATGGTTGATAATTTGCTAACTCCTGTCTGGGTTACACTCACTCACAAGCTTCACAGTCAAGGCTGTTTTAAATATTTCTAAACTAGGCGTCTTCCGAGGCCAGCTAATTGGGCAGAAGAACGAGCCAAAGTCATCAACCGTGGTTTGCAAAGTTTCACACATTCATGCCTGTAATTCAGGCTGTAACCGCAATCGTGCCTTGTAACCAGCCAAGATTTTTTTATCACTGAAAGGAATTGAAGGCCTGCCATTTGGGCTCTAGGTTTTGAGACAAAGCCAGAGATATCATCTTTAAGCTCTTACTTAATCCAGCACCCTGCTTACGACTTTATTTGGAGGGTGGAGGTTTGCATACAGCTCAGAAGTTGGGTTTGTACATCATGCTAAGCCTGAGATTTACAAGCCTTGGTATATTGCGTAAATTGTAATGTCTTAGGACAGGAGAGATGCTCACCTGTCACACATGAACTCCACCGAGGGTAATACCTGCATGGGAGAGAAGCCAATGCTTGTGATCAAGTGAGGTTGAGCGTCCACCCTCAATATATCTGCTCTGGTTTTTGAGCTCTCTAAGCCTGGGACTGTCTCCACACTGGGTGGCAGTAAATTCTTGAATCCTGTGAGGATTTGTTTTTCTCCATGAAACTAAGTTGGAAGTGGGAGAATGGAGAGGTTGAAAGGTAGACCAGGTGAGGCCTGTCCCCCGGGGGTTCAGAAACAGAAAAAATAACCAATCAGACATGGAACTTGGTAGGGAAGGGAAATGACTAGATAGATAGATAGATAGATAGATAGATAGATAGATAGATAGATAGATAGATAGATAGA